AGCACTGTTGCACTGTATATCTTTTTCTTCTAACCCTCCCACTCCTGTCTCCTTGGTGATCAGGTGATCAAGTGCGTCCATTTGCCGAGTGCACCCGAACGCACGGGAAGCTTACCCGAGGCACATGTTGACGGCCGTTTCCTCATGAGTAAAGATTAATCTCTTTATAGTGCAATTCTTTTTTTAAAAATATATTTTATTGATTTTTTACAGAGAGGAAGGGAGAGAGATAGAGAGTTAGAAACATCGATCAGCTGCCTCCTGCACACTCCCCACTGGGAATGTGCCCACAACCAAGGTACATGCCCTTGACTGGAATCGAACCTGGGACCTTTCAGTCCGCAGGCCAACGCTCTATCCACTGAACCAAACCGGTTATGGCTAGTGCAATTCTTAACATTTTTATATTAATGTCAATATTGGAACAATGTATCTTGGATGTTTTCACTATGTATCTTTGCTACGCAACACCGATGTACATGTTTACATCCGGTTTTAGAATTGCATTATTGATCATGAGTAACGTGAGTAATAATATTACTCGAGTGATGCCCAACTCTGGCTGTTGCGAGAGACAAATATTTGAATTATGCAATTTTTTGTCTCTGTCGATGCGTGTCACCCAGAATGAGTTTGCGTGTCACCTCTGACATGCGTATCATAGGTTCGCCATCACTGCCTTAGGCTGTCAAATTGAAAAAATGACAGCAGCCAACACAACAATGGCCATCAAATGTGAATAAATCAAAATCATACCTATTTTTTTTTGTCAGATGGACAAAAAATACAGTATATTTTTTGGTGTTTCGCAGAATTTTAGTATTTAGTTTATGTGTGCCAGGAGATGGAAAAGGTTGAGAATGGCTGCACGGGGCCATGCAGTATCCCGCGGGTGGGGGGTGGGGGCCAGGTGGCTGCCTCACTGTGAGTAACACACTGACTGCTCGCGAGAGGCGTGACCACCCCTGAGCCTGGAGGGCAGTGTGGCTGAGGACAGGTCTAACTCCGGGTTTGGCATCAGAGGGTTTGACATCAGAGACGGTTGCATGTGTGATGAGCAGAATAGCCATGCTGACGTTAGATCTGCCTAATCTTGGAAGGCCCAACTGATTTTGCTTTTCTTAGGAGCAAATCCAGAACCAGCTGGACCACCTAAAACGAGTGAAAAACTTAAAGAAGAGGCATCAGGCACAGGGGGAGCAGGCGCGAGCTGAACTCTTGGTAAGGCTCTTTGGAATTCACAGAGAATATTGTTACCAGATGGGGATCTGGCCCTGAGCAGGTCTGCCTAAGGCCAGCTGGTAGTGTGTCAGTTCTTGACTTCACGCAGGAAGGATGTCACAACATGAGTCCAGGTGATTTTGAGGGTACGTTTGTCAAAGCTGGGGACAGAGCCCAGCCGGTGTGCCCCATGGTTGAGCATTGACCTGTGAACCAGGAGGTCACGGTTCAATTCCAGTCAGGGCACATGCCTGGGTTGCTGGCTCGGTCCCCAGTCGGGGCACACAGGAGGCAGCCAATCAATGATTCTCTCTCATCACTGATGGTTCTATCTCTCCCTTCCTCTCCCTTCCTCTCTGAAATCAATACAAATATTTTTTTAAAAAACAAACCTAGGGACAGTGGAGTAAGGAAGGGTTTAGCATAGAAGAAGCAACAGGAGAGCCCAGGCGGGGCTGCTTGCTCACTGGGAAGTCAGAGAAAAAGGGGCCTTGGGGACAAGTTCAGGGGTGAGCCACTGCCATTGCTCCCCTGATTGCCTGTGGGCGAAGGAGAGGGGGAAGGGAAGGTGAAGTTGTGTTCCCAGAGGGGGAGCATGTGCTGGGTCCTTTGTCTTGAGGGTTTTTATATCTTTCTTTTAAAATATATTTTTATTGATTTCAGAGAGGAAGGGAGAGGGAGGGAGAGATAGAAACATCAATGATGAGAGAGAATCATTGATAGGCTGCCTCTGCATGCCCCCTACTGGGGGTTGAGCCATAACCCAGGCATGTGCCCTGACTGGGAATTGAACTATGACCTCCTGGTTTGGTTCATAGGTCAACACTCAACCACTGCACCACACCAGCCAAGCTAGTTTTTTATTATTTTTTTGTTAATCCTCACCAGAGGATTCACCCCCATTGATTATTTTAGAGAAAGTAGAAGGGGAGGGGAGAGAGAGAAAGAGAGAGAAGTGAGAGAGACACATCGATTGGTTGCCTCCTTTAGTGCCCTGACCAGGGTGGGGAACAAACCTGCAACCCAGGTTGGTGCTCTTGGCCAGAATTAAGCCCATGACCTGTTGGTCTGAAGGCCAAGAGCCACACTGGCCAGGGCTTTATTTCCTTCTCACAGGCGGGAACCTTAGGGGAGGCCTCGGGGGAGAGTTCCAGCAGAACATGCATCCGTTTCCAGATGGGCTCCTCCCCAGGGCGTGGTCTCCACCGATGGGTCAGGGCCAGGGCAGGGGGTTGTCAGTCATCACAGCTGGTCCTGGTGTCTCCCACCTGGTTTTGCTGCTTTTCTGGGCCTGGAGCTGAAACACAACTGCGGCCTCGATGTTATCTTAGGGAGGGGACCTCCTGCATCTGCTGTGCATTGCTCTGCAGTGTGTTCAGCTCTCTGCCTCAGTTTCCCCGTTCTACTTGCTAAGTAATTTTCCTGGCGTCTCATTATCCCGTCTCAATGTCACTTCCGCTGGTTACTTTCCTGTGTCGTGGGCTGGGGTCTCTTCTCTGTGTCCCGCACGGAGAGAGACGTGAACCGGTTCGTTTAAGTTAGGAGGTGCTTTTGGTATTAAAGAAAAATGAATTGGACAGACACAAAATTAGACTAAAAGCTCGGGCTGGGTGTGGCGTCTGCCCTCTCATGGAGGGACAGACAGAGAGAGATCCAGCACCGGAAGGAGTTTATTATATACTTGAATTACAGGAAGTTACATCACATCTGAGTGGGCCTTGAGTTCCTGGCGACATCATGAGATCCATCCCCTTAACACTGGGCAGGAAAGTCAGACTGAGTGGTGTCCAATCTCTTGACTGGGTCCACCCTCAGGGCGTGACTCTGCCTTCGCTCTCTGAGTTTCAGCCACGTAATTAAACCGAGTGTTTACTAAGGGCCCTCAGCACTTTCCCGTTTGTAAGGCGATGTTACTTCCTCAGCCTTGTCCAAGTCACTCAGACATCGAGGTGAAGGTGGAACAGCCATATGGTGGTTGGACCCTTGGAGATCTGACCTATCAAAAGTTGAACCTTAGAGCCAAGGCCAGTGTGGCTTAGTTGGCTGAGCATTGTCCCATGCACCAAAAAGTTCCTGGTTCACTTCCCAGTCAGGGCACATACACATGCCTGGTTGCAGGCTCAATTCCCGGTGAGGAGCATTCAGGAGGTAGTGGGTTGATGTTGCGCTGTCACGTTGATGTTTCTCCCTCTCCCTTCCTGTCTCTCTAAAATCAGTACAAATATATTTTTGACAAATTTAATCTTCTAGCTTCCTGTAGATCAGGGTTGACCCTGGACAAAGCTGACTTGGTGAAGTGCTTGGGCACTCAGCCTGCTGTGGTACTGTCTGTAGACAGATGTGCAGTGGGTTTGCATGAGCCCCACTGTTGCTGCTGTGGGAGTGGTCCCTTTCTGACACTTTGATTCTGAACTTCTCACTTTGTTTCCTTCCCTCAGTCTCTCAAGGCATTAGCAGTGGCTGGTGTGCTAATTTCTGATAGGGATGTTTGGGGGGTTTGTTTCGAAAACCAAAAAAAAGTGCAGAGATTTTTATAAAATACTAGAGGCCCAATACACGAAATTCGTGCAAGAGTAGGTCTTCCTTCCCCTAGCTGCTGGTACTGGCTTCCCTCTGGCACCTGGGACCCAGCCTCCGGTAGGTACCCAGAACCTGGGCTTCCCTTGCAGTCCTGGCTTCATCTGGAAGGACATCTGTCTAATTAGCATATTGCACTTTTATTATTATAGACTAGAGGCCCGGTGCACAAAATTTGTGCATGGGAGGGGGGAGTCCCTCAGCCCGGCCTGCACCCTCTCACAATCCGGTATCGCTTGCTCCTAACTGCTGGCCTACCTGCCTGCCTGCACACCCCTAACCGCCTCTGCCTGCCTGCCTGATCTCCCCTAACCACTCTGCCTGCCTGCCTGATCGCCCCTAACCACTCTGCCTTCCTAATTGCCCCTAACCACCTCTGCCTGCCTGATCTCCCCTAACCACTCTGCCTGCCTG